GTTTATTTGTTTGTTGTTGTTTTATGTAGTTTTGGTGCAATAATACTTACGGGCAAGTTCTCTTTCTGCTGCAGGGCTGCCTTCTTTTTCCACAGCCGGTCTCGGAGCTCACTGATCCGTTTGTCCATAGCAGCCACTTCCAGGTTGCGCTTGTTCAGACTTTCTCTCTGGTGCTGGAGCTTTGAGTTTTGATCCTGGTTGAGCTTGTTCCTCAGCTGACCAAACCAGCACAAACACAAATCAAAAACTGTGCTAATTTTAAACAAGTAATATGTTTGGACTTGAATTTTCCTTTATTACTTCACACCTGTAGCTCTTTGTAGAGGCGGTCCAGCTCTGCAACTGAGCTCTGGTTGTCATGGAAGTTATCCATTTTGCCATTTTTGAGCAACTCCAGCTGCCGGTTGAGCTCCTCCACCTTGGACGCAGCCATCACTAGTTCTCTCTGCTTCTGCTGGAACAGGTTATTCATTTGCTCTATCTCCTCCACTGGAAAGGGAGAGGGATTGAGCGTGATGATGACAGAGGTAAGAAGAAAGAAAGCAAAGAGAGACAAACAATATAATGTTGACAGTCAGTCACAGAAATACAGCGCATCTTAATCCAAAATAAATTTCAAACTTTAATGGTTCACACCATACTCTTAGCAGGCATCCAGTCGTGAATTCAAAGTTAACGAACTCACCCAGTTTGCCATTGCTGAGACGTTTCTGTTCCACCTGACCCTTGAGGGCCCGGACCTTCTTGAGCCGAGCTTCCTGATTCTCAATGTTCTCTCTGAGGCGCTGTAGCTTCTCCTGCTCAGATGCCTGTTGCTGCTGACGCTGCTCTTGCTGCTTCAAGTAGCGCAGCCGCTGTTCCTAGAGACAAGAAAGAGCAAAGGGGAAGCAGAGCACTTGTTAAAAAAATATATATAATTAAACAAACACATCCCTCCTCATGCATGACTGCACTATGTACACTGCTTAAATGTTTGTGGGCTACACGTATAAGGGCCACTGATAGAAGTTTTTCCTGGTTCATCTTCCTCTGAACAGACAATAGGTACATTTTTCCTTCTATGATGTTCGCACAATGCAATGCTACTGAAAATAAAATGAAGTCACTGATAACTGGCTTGCCTATAACCCTTGCTTTCAGTGCAAAATATTTCCTGCCACAAGTCCTTGGCTGTAATGAAAATCAGGAAGTAACTTGCTTTCCCTGGTAGCCTTGGGAAGCTATTCCCAGGTAGTTAAATAGCAGAAACAGATGCAACTGTGGAAAGTACTGAAAACAAATCAAGGGGGGGAGGGAGCTTGAGAGGGAGATAGTTTGCATTACTTCCACTGGATCCAGCAAAAATAAAAAATAAAAAAATAAAAAAATCAAACAAATTCTGACTACAGAAAGCTTAAATGTTAGCAATGGTATTTAAAAATTGGTTGGTTTCAGAATCAATCATCGCTCTTCAGGTGTCACATGGTATATTGTAAACATGACAGAGCTCTCCCAGCAGGTTCCAAGATAAGCACATCCCAGCCACGGGTCAGGTGATGATGACGACAATGCCCCTTTATTTACTCCAAGCAATCAAGTATACATGTAATGCTTGTACTTGACTGCTTGGAAGTCACATTCCTGGACTTGTTATGCTGTGCTGATGTATACACAGTGCTTGGAAGTGAATGCTTAAATGCCTAAAGGACCTAAACCACAGCCCTAGGAGCATATTTAAGGAAGTAAAAGAAGACACAAAGTTTTTAAAGTTACTATAAAACTGCATATACTGTGTGGGTGATTCAGAAGAACAAAAACATTTTAAAGTGCTTCCGCAAAACAACAACAACAACAAACAAACAAAAAAAAAAAAACATGGAAGGAATAAGCACTCAGTTAAGTATTTCACTATATCACACCTATTTTCTATCATATCTTTCTTCTTGTCAATCAATCCTGAGCAAAGTAAAAAAACAAGTTTAGATATCAGATGTGTCCCGCAGAGTGAGAAGCCTGAGACAGTAAACTGTCTCAGACAGTAAACTGTCTCAGGCTTCTCAAATGAAACTATGCCCACATCCACCCATGCCTTACCTGTCTATCACAAACTCTACATAAACATGCATTATATAAGTACAATAGAATGTACTCATTTAATATACTAAATGAACTCATTTTTAGTCCAGTACTGACTTCAATACTGTCTCCACTTAACTCCTTAATCTCTTATAGACACCCATCTCTTTCTACTGTACTTTTTTATGCACCTTGGAGGCAAGAAGTTGCTGTTGGGCTTCTATCTGCTGCTGCTGTCTGGCAGCCATCTCTTGCAGCTCAGCCAGCGTCATGTCCATCTGGGGCGTTGCCACCTGTGTAGAAAGAAAGAACAAAAAGAAACACATTCATGTTTTAAATATATATTCAAGCTGAAGGCATTTTTCCCATTATAAAAGTCTAAAATAAAATTACAACAGGAGGCCTAAAGTAAAAAATGCAAAACATATGCGG